CGATCAGGTTTTATATGTTCCTTAGACAGGGGACATCAGTGTGGCAAGGAAGAAATAAAGTAGTTTTTGTGTTATGCGATTCCAGGACAAGTGACGAGCCTAACACTCAATCGTCCACCGTCATATCGAACTGAGTTCATCCCATGACACATCACTTTTAAGATCTCATCATGCATACCACGAACATGCAAATTCACGTGTTACTAATCCTGATATGCGTAGCCAGACAAACGCATCATAGTTTGATTACACTTTTGTGGTTGTAAGTGCAGAGCGAGTGAAGAAAAAAGACCGCTTTTACTTCTGTCTGTATCTTGTGCGCTCATATACACACTGACGGAAGACACGGACGGAAGAATGGTGTGACTCTTTAACATAGGCATGTCCCCTCCATGTTCCTCCATGAGTCAGACCTGCACCACAACAGCATTGAGTTCGAACGTGTAATTTTAAAGAGCATCTTCTGGTCAGTGGCTGAAAGCTGAGCTACATGAAAAGGCACTGCATGAAAAGTATATTTATAGCATACTAGCCACGGAGAATAGAAAAGAAAGAAAGAAAACCAGAAGTCACCCTCCACCCCCCATCCCCCACCCATACACAGACACAAACAACACGGTAGGACAACAGGTGCCCAGCCTTGAGAACTGGGGCAGTGGGTTAAAGAGCCTTTTATGGCATGCCAACTCTCCCCACACACCTAGTGTCCAAACCGAATAACAAACAATCACAATGACAGTTACTATACAGAGGCAGTAGAAAAAAAATAAATAAATATTTGTGTATAAAAATAGAAAGAACTGATCTTAATAAAGTAAAACGAAAGAGGCAGTAAAAACATAATAAGTCTGTAGAAAAATAGACAAAATAGAAATATATAAAATCTGGAAACAGAGAATAAAACTTACGTGCAGACCAGGCTCAAGCACCAGAGCGGCTTTGCAATGATTCTATTTAGTGCACAGTTGTCGGCACGCGTTGTAAAATTTAAAAACGTATCGTTTAAATAGATCTGCGTGAGACGTGGCGACTCTGGAACGGATCCATTGCTGGTAAACATACACCATCTGCAATATGTCTGCGTACGCTACAACCATATTTGTCTACAAACCACACATGTTTCTTCGCAAACCGTCGAAAAACTACACACAGTGTTGAGTACCAGAATCCTTGGCGAACAAGTCTATGAGTAACCGCAAAATGAGTATAGTTACTGCATATTCGACTTATACGTAACAAGCTGGGAATCCCATATGCAGGTCCAAATCTGGAATGTTAGAAGAAAGATATGGAAAATTAACAATGTTAACCTCATCCGTATGGTCTCATAGCCAAGTTTGTAAACAATGAGGTTCATGCACTGAACTCCTTTGCTACATTACGTAGGAATCGGTATATACGTGTTATAACCCTCGGCGCGCATGCGCAGCGAGGGTTACGGTAGTTGGTTTGTCTGTCTGTGTGTGTGTGTCGACGCTTATTCTGGCGCTACAGGCACCGAGGCGGCCCATTAGTGATACCAGCGGCTTCAGAACTACGCGAGCCAGAAAAATGAAAAGGCGATTTTCTTGAAACGACTGCGTTCAAGAGCGACAAACTGGCACGGTCGCGGACCGCGTTGCGTGGCCCAACCCATCAATAAGCGGTGCGCATGCGTATATTAGACGCAGTATGTTGGCTCACCTCGACCTGATCCGCTTGCTCTGTGTACCTTGGAGGCACAAGAAGCCACAGCGAAGGGCGTGTATCGACTCCCGCGTGCTATCTACTACCGTGGGTAGCCGTGTCGTCTCCGCGGCTACACGAGATCGGGTAAAACGCAATAGCCCAGCCCACCATTAGCGTTACCGCGCATGCGTAGTTCGCCGAGGGTTTGCACTTTAGTGCTTTCATGCATGAATTCCCCGGCTACCCAGGAAGCAATGCACAGCCACTCCTCCGGTGATCTGAGGATCCAGCCTGCTTTGCCTATTTATTCTCCCCAGTCACAGCGCACCGTAGTCAGAGAGCCCCGGAAGACCGCCCCCGAACCCCGAAGCGGACACGCATGCGTGGCGGCTCTTGGCCATTAGATTCGCATGCTCACATGACAGCAGTGCAGTAGCTGTATTGCTCTCTGCCCTTGAGGCGTCTTTGTCATGCTTGTCGTAGCTATAGCAGTCCTTCCATTTGTTTGGGTTGCCGGCCGTGACCGGTTTTGGGGACGCGCCGAGATTCAGTCGGGGAAAATAGCAGATGATATGGTTAACTATAAATATAATTATGCTATCGTGGCAACGGCTTACCCCCGACCAGCTCTTCCGCGCAAACTCGCTAGAAGATGTGACTTTCAAGGCTAGGGCTTAGCTGTTTCTGAAGCGAGACGCTGCCTCATCCTGCGAGCATTACACGCGACGATTCCTCAATGACGTTGCACTCTCGCGTCGTCGTCTCGAGGCATATTGGCGCCCATGAAAAAATAGGCTAGCTATGTAATGGCGCAATTCGACCAGCATCCATAGCTAGGCATATGCCGGAGTTATTAGTTCGCACTGAATGTAGTCATAGCGACATCTATGAAACCAGAGGTTTGTTAGCGCTTTCCTGGGTACAGTATCTATAGCTAGCTAATCAAGCGAAATTCATGGCTAATAGCTCATGTCCCCAGTTGTTCGACTCCAAATGTCTTGAATTGCTCAACCATTCCCAAGGCCCCACTTTACGTAACAGCCACTCCCATGCGCCATAGGCAGAGGTGGTTATCCAAGCATAATTTCCAGCACAAAGTGATTACTGACAAAAGTGACACATTTCCAAGTAGGGGTGTGTTTCAAATGGAGGGGGTGCATTTACATTGCATATGCATTTACTGTACTCGCATTCCATATACATAACACGTGTGCCGGCTGGCGCTATGGCGCTCATTTGAAGTGCCAAGACACAAATTTCTAGAGCTAAACTAGCAGAAGAAGAGCTATATATATATATATATATACATAAGCAGAGAAAAAGTATGAAAGTGTTACCAGCCTAGCTCTGATCATGTGCAGTGGCCTGGAACTTAATTCACTTCATACTCATTAGTCAACTAAGCAGGTTCTCCTTTCTTTCTCTTGTACACAGAGGGCACTCCATCGTTTGGCACTGGCTGCATCTTCTCGCTCACGGTGGAGTACTTGGCAGGCTTGTCTCGGAGGTAGTAGAGTTTGGCCCGCCGCCTCCTCTCCAGCTTCAGGACCTGTATCTCTCTGATGGCCGGGGAGTAGAGCTCATACATCATCTCAACACCCATTCCATTCAGAACATTGCGGAGGATAAAAGTGGAGCCCAGACCCTTGTTGCGACGGGCGATACAGATACCGACAAACTTTGAGGTGCCAGTAGGGGAGTGTGGATCGGCTCGTGTCACGGCCAGGTAGCTCCCGGCTGTGAAGCAGGGAATTTCAATGCTGCGACGTCTCTTTTGAATGTCTGACTGGTTGAGAAAGTTCAGAAGGTTAGTATTTGCCTCCTTTGGTGTATGGCAGACAGCATCATTGACGGTTACGTGTGTAGCGGTTGGAAATCTCTCCTTGCTGGCTGTGCTTAGGGAGTCCTTTCCAGATGAAAGCCATCTTCTATACAATACACCTCCTAAAACACATTACATGGTATACGTTATAGCAACATATCTCCCATCATTAACTCCACCTAGAGCTGCTCTGTGAATCAATCTCGAGTGCATGCAGCAAACTCCTGCCATCACCAATCGCATCTTATTTGATGCGCCCCCTGAAATGCGCGTGCGCGAGTCCGCGGCGATCGGGCCGGCCGGGTAGATGGCACAAGTAAGTAAGGTGGATCCAATCAGTCTTAAGCGCCCATAAGCCCACTCGTCCTAATGCGAATTGAGGCACCTGTAGGTAGCAGCCAGTAGCACAGGGAGCACTAGTAACAAAGGGAGCTGAGGGAGCACTAGTAACACTGGTAGCTGATGGAGCACTGGTAGCAGAGGGAGCACTAGTAGCAGAGGTAGCTGATGGAGCACTGGTAGCAGAGGGAGCACTAGTAGCACTGGTAGCTGATGGAGCACTGGTAGCAGAGGTAGCTAGGAGCACTGGTAGCAGAGGGAGCACTGGTAGCTGAGGGAGCACTGGTAGCAGAGGGAGCACTAGTAGCAGAGGTAGCTAAGGGAGCACTGGTAGCAGAGGGAGCACTGGTAGCAGAGGGAGCACTAGTAGCAGAGGTAGCTAAGGGAGCACTGGTAGCAGAGGGAGCACTGGTAGCACTGGTAGCAGAGGGAGCACTGGTAGCTGTAGGAGCACTGTAACACTAGGTAGCAGAGGCGAGCACTGTAACCTGTAGCAGAGGAGCACTGGTAGCAGAGGAGAGCACTGGTAGCAGAGGGAGCACTGGTAACACTGGTAGCAGAGGGAGCACTGGTAGCAGACTGAGAGCAGCTGGTAACACTGGTAGCTGAGGGAGCACTGGTAGCAGAGGGAGCACTGGTAGCTGATGGGAACATGATATATTGACACTTCTTATTCATTCTGAAACACTTGCACCTTTCTAGATGAGCATGCTGACCTTCGAAAATCTGCTACTAGTGCTCCCAGCCCTCCCTTAGCTACCTCTGCTACTAGTGCTCCCAGCTACCTTCTACTACTAGTGCGCCCTCAAGCTACCTCTACTACTAGTGCCTCCCTCAGCTACCTCTCTACTAGTCTCCCTCAGCTACTCTACTATAGTGCTCCTCAGCTACTCTACTCCTAGTGCTCCTCATACCAGCGCTTCCTAGCTCTCTGCTACCAGTGCTCCCTTCTGCTACTAGTGCTGCCATCTTGCTACCAACGCTTTTGCTTCTTCTCTGCTACTAGTGTCCTCGGCTACCTCTGCTACTAGGTGCATGCTCCTTAGATACTCGCTACCCAGTGCTCCTTAGACTCCCTCTGCTACCAGTGCTCCCT